AAACTGCGAAACAGTGGATATATGGCGTGATCTAACAATTATCAAATTTGAACCCGTACTGATAAGGATGAAAGCTTGGTTGGAGATCGGATTTCTTAACTTGAAGTTTCTTACAACAGCTGGCATTGAAACAATGGTTATATCTGCTATTCAAAATAAAAATAGTTCTAAAGGAAAAATGTAAAAAACCATACAGAAATAAAACCAAGTGCTCATAAAGCGCACTGAGCTTCTCGTGACTCAGGGAAAGTGCAACATTAAACTCAACTTGTCACACTATTCTACCCTTCCACACCTCCGAGAAGTGTGGAACTAAGTAAAGAATGACAAGGGGTTCTTAACAGGGGGAAAAGTGCGACAATATCCTTACTTTGTCAGACTATTCCACAGTTCCAGACCTCTGAGAAGTGTGGAACAAGGTGAAGAATGACAAGGGGTTCATGACTGGGGGAAAAGCGCGGCAGTATCCTTAGTTTGTCACACTATTCCACACTTCCACACCTCTGGGAAGTGTAGAACTAAGTAAAGAATGACAAGGGGTTCTTAACAGGGGGAAAAGTGCGACAATATCCTTACTTTGTCAGACTTTTTTTCACACTTCCACACCTCTGAGAAGTGTAGAACTAAATAAAGAATGACAGTGGTTTCGTATGACCGGGGAAAAGTGTTACATTATCCTGACTTTGTCAGATTTTTTCCACACTTCCACACCTCTGAGAAGTGTAGAACTAAGTAAAGGATGACAAGGGGTTCTTAAACAGGGGAAAAGTGCGACAATATCCTTACTTTGTCAGACTTTTCCACACTTCCACACCTCTGAGAAGTGTGGAACAAAGTAAAGAATGACAAGGGGTTCATGACTGGGGGAAAAGTGCGGCAATATCCCTAGTTTGTCACACTATTCCACACTTCCAGACCTCTGAGAAGTGTGGAACTAAGTAAAGAATGACAAAGGGTTCATGACTGGGGGAAAGTGAGACAATATCCTTACTTTGTCGGACTTTTCCACACTTCCACTCCTCTCGGAAGTGAAGAACTAAGTAAAGAATGACAAAGGGTTCATGACTGGGGGAAAGTGAGACAATATCCTTACTTTGTCGGACTTTTCCACACTTCCACACCTCTGGGAAGTGTAGAACTAAGTAAAGAATGACAAAGGGTTCATGACTGGGGAAAAGTGCGACAATATCCTTACTTTGTCGGACTTTTCCACACTTCCACACCTCTGAGAAGTGTGGAACTAAGTAAAGAATGACAAAGGGTTCATGAGTGGGGGAAAGTGAGACAATATCCTTACTTTGTCAGACTTTTCCACACTTCCACACCTCTGAGAAGTGTGGAACTAAGTAAGAAGTGAAGAAACTCTGGATTTCATGGCCAGGGCTGGACATGGCTCGTTCTTTAAGCGACCATGTGCGGTCTAAGTTTACTAGTCACCAACCAAAACATAGCACAGAGAAAATGGAGTGTTTGCCCCACCCAGATGATAAGCAAATTGCCCAAATGTTAAAACCAAATAACTGAACAAAAGAAAAAACAAATCTGAATCTGTATCTGAATCTGAATCTGAATCTATCTGAATCTGTATCTGAATCCTAAGTGAAAGATGTATGCCTAGCTTAACTTTAAGGTTTTGTCATTTTCACTTCCACAACAGGAAATAAGCAGTATTTCCTTACCAGATACACCGCAGGTAACTTGAGTATATGATATTTTAAATCTAGAGCCCCATCCTATAGTACTGTCGGAGACAAATAGTACTTTAATTCTCTCTTTAAACCAAACATACGTTGCGTTGGCTGTTAAAGGAACGGAACATAGACGCCATTTGAGACCATCATAGCCTGAAATGGATCCACCTTGAATTTCCAAATACCCACACGAGCAAGACCATCCTTCGCCGCACGCCCAATCACCTGACGAATCAATATCCATGTCCTCAATATCCATGTCTTCAATAGTTAATGAAATTCGTTTTCCTTTTCTTGCCCTTATTTCCCAGCTGCAGCTTTGCTTATTAGAAGAATATCTGGGGTAGAAAGGACTGGTGATGACTCCTGAACTCTCATTCAAGATTGTCATATTTGGACAGACTGTAAAAGAATATTACACGTATCTCTTGGAGAATATTTCTTTTAACGCCTTAATATCTTGGTGAAGCAGATCTTCCACTTCCCCCCTCATCCCTGATTAATATTTTCAAGGGCACTTCTTTACTGCCGTCTCAATATCCCAGAATCCATCTGAAAACGGCTTACTGTAATAGTATATGCTTGAAATAGTAAGATAGATATTGTTGTCATGCTTGACTCATAAGGCGGTTTTTAAGCCCCCCACAAAATACAAAATACTGCTTGCTAACATAACATCTTATAGTATATGTGAATATTTAGGTGTACCGTCCCCACCCCCATGTTTGTATTATCGAACATGCGCTCTGACTGTTATAATGATTGAATACACACATTCTCGTCCCCAGAGCCCGTTGTTTCTTGGTCACGTGATCTTGAAACGAGGGGCTCTGGAAAAAAAAAAAAATTCTGACATCCGGTCACGCAAGTGCAGAAGTTACAAATATCACTTCTCATGCTTATAACGGATTTTGTCGCTCATCGCTCCACTGGGGAAAGAATTTTACTTCCTGAGCTCTCTCCCGAGAGTGGCTTCTTTGGGCTGTTTCCACTCAACTAGGATTCATTGATAATTTAGAGTCAAAAGGAGAAGACATTAACAAAAACCAGCTGAACACACTGTTAAGTCGCAGAACTGAGACAATTTATCGGCAGATTATCGTTTTTGGCGAAAACAAACACTGGGAAAGCAAGATCGCGGAGATGGAAGGTATCTTGTTCCATGTGATGTCCTGCAAATGCTATCTCATTTCAAAACGTCTTTTGAAACGAAACAATTCATGTGTTGTGTTATTCAAGTGGACAGGAAAATAAAATATATATATTCGTTTCACTCCAACTGGTTGTGTTTTTTCCTAAGTTTATTTTCCTTTTGAGGTGTCGAATGGTAGGTTTTAATTTTTTTTTAATAGCGTTTATGCTAATCCGGCAATGGGTCATTTGGTGCTTATGGTGGCCATTCAGTGTTTTGCAAAAGGACCAAAATGGGACCTTTATCTATTAGAGGTTTATCCTCTTAAAGATTTCATTTATCATCTCCTAACTAAATACCATCATCAATACCTCAATGAGAGAGTTTTCAATAATTTTGCTGTCAAACTGAGAAAAGCGTGAACACGTAAAAATTTTGAGGAATGTTGATTCTTTAGTGACCAATCGCCATAAAGTTCAGGACACATGAGCAAACCTCACAGGGGTAAGGGGTTTTTAAGGTTTTTGTTTTTTTTTTTAAGGGGCTATATGAAGCTTAGGAGAGGGTTTATAACCAGGAGGGCCATTTTTTCTTGTTTTCTTGTTTACTTCTCTCTATCTGAATGTCTAGAACAGGTTATCATAAGCTATTTAGCTGTACTTTTTTATCTGGAATAATGAAATGTAGAGTGATATACGCTTTATATAGACTGTATGCTTTAGAAGACCCCCTTAAGAAGTACACTTTGAGTATCACACAACCCAAAAGAATTTTCTTGAGTAGCTGCGCTCGTCATGTTTTGAAAGTGGAGTTCAAGGCCTGGTTTGAAATTGGGGAGAGAATTTTGGATCAGACCAGAAATAGGATAGGGAAAATCTCACATAGTTTGGTCGAACTTTGGCAAGGCAAGAAGCACACTGCATGTAGGGCCAACCTGAACTGATTTTGGTGGGGTAGTACAGTTGTATTGAAACTAAATGTGGTACTTTATAGAGTTAAAGTACAATATCTGCTCACAGCTATAATTGTGTAATTATTGTTTAGCTCACTTAAAATTGATTATTTTGTGTTATAATATGAGGGTTTCCGACTAGGAGAGAGTTTTACTAGAACTGAATCAATGACCAGTGGAAGCAAGTTTTAATTTGGCTCATTATATGTCAATAACCAAGTAACTAAGATACCATATGTTAGGATTAACTAGTAAACTAGAATATTACTGTTGCTCAAGCTATTATGTTACCCACCCTATTGGAGGTGACATACTGCAAAATCCAGTTGTCATCATCAACAACCCCTTGCCCCTGTAGTATGATGCAAAAGACTACTCTTGGCTACTGGTCATTTATTATTTTATTTATTAACAACTCAGTTGTCCATAACATTGCAATAAATCTACATTAGGCCAGTTTTCTTATAATATATGCCTAATTTTAAACAGTTTCTCAAACTTTTTCTTGTATTTTAGAACTTTAAAACCAAATTGTTTAGTACATTGTACTATTTTATTTAGTGATCAGATGAATAATTATGTTAATTATCAAGAAAAATTGTGTAATAGCTGCTTCTTTGTTAACTTTTCATTATAAATCACCCTAGAGGCCCTCGTTTGTCTTTGTCTAAATGGAGCATGACTGGAAGCCAAGAAAGGACTGTTAGGATGAGAATATGTTCTTGCAACACACTTGTAACAAGTCGGCCACAGAGCCTTTCCTTTCACACGCTAGTTCTTACTATTAAAATAAACACTATCAGAGGGCTTCCACAACGATCTAAGCATGATTAAAGATTTAATTCAGCGGAAGAAAATGTAGATTGGAAAGAGTACTTGCCCTATCATCTTTACACAAAAATTGCCTTATGCATACAGCCCAAAAGAGTCATAAGCTATTCAGTTCTGGCTTTGTGCACTGACTCAAGCTCAAGCTCAAAGGCTTGTAACAGAAAATTATCTTGACCTATTAGTATAGCAAAGGAGACGTACTTTCAGCAATAAATCAAAAAAGCACATTGTAAATCAAAAGCACATTGTAACAAACTTATTATTACGTACACATCATTTCTGTAATGTAGTCCTTGAGCTTGATTTCCTCTCTTACTGTAGCACAGACGAATATCCAGAAGAATTAGACAGACTGATTATATTTAATACGTCTTTAATAACGCCATACAAGTGCGGTCGATTGCTCGATTGTTAACTTTTAATCTATGTGAGCAAGGGCTAACCATTCACTTCTCCTTTCAGTTTCCCGAACGCGAGAGATTATTAGCCCACAACGAAGGCAAACGTTCTTTGTTAAGGCTCGTGGTTCTCGTTGAAACCTCTCCAACTTGAACTTCAATTCTCGTTTTCACTGCTACTGCATTGCAGAATTCACTTGCTAACAAAACAGGATTGTCGCGATCGACGTAAACCAGACACGCATTTCATGTTTGCAGTTCGAAAGGGCAGGATATAAACTGTTATGCGCAGTAGATTATATTTTTAAGAGTGATTTTCTGTAAAATTCGAACTTCGGCCTGACACGGTACCTCATCGATTTGGCTGATTTTTGGATGTAGTCTTAGAATGGTGTCCTAAATACTGAATGCATATTCTAAGGTTCGAATTCTCGTTGGTTTCAAAGATACAGGAATGACAGTTTTGACGAGGCCTCGAGCGGCCGCCATGTTGGTGAACTGAAGGAGATTTACAGTAATTAATTCTAGCCTTATCATTAAAGTAACTTAATCGTGACTCATACAGTTGCAAAGAACTATCCTTCCTCCTTTCATTTACCTACTCTTATCTGAAAATGGTTAAGCCTGAGCTACGAACGGCTGTAACTTCTCACAGCACTTTTTCGGTACTTAAACGGCACACAAATTTGGTAGAAATTGGAAGGCCAATATCACCCATGCCACATCGATTTAGACTAAGCCATTTTAACTAAACATAGTTTGTTTATAGCTAAGTTATATTGTTGAATAAAATAATTGGGCAAATGCAACGGAACAGAAATATGATTGCATGAATGCGCAGTGGTTCAGCCACTTGGCCGCTAAAACTTCAAAACAAAATTCGGTGAATATTTGAAAAGAAAATTCTTTAAAAATTGATCGTGCCTCTTAAACCCTATCTATCGCTTAAAAAACCCTTCCTTGTAATGTAAACAGATGATCTTTTGATTCTGATCTTGCGAAGAGCTTGAAATATGCGCTAAAATGAAAATTATAAATTTTGTTACACACGAAACTAGCTCAAGTTCGCTCTTCGATTTCCCAGACCAATCGGGAGCCGCTCGTGTACTGCACAGTTACAATTTTCTCTGTACTATTTCGCTGTATACAGCTACAAATTACATATTTTCTTAGGCAAAGATAACGCAAACGTTGTCAATTTTAATCAAAAGGCTAGAAAAACCAACCGTGCACTGTAGCTTTATGCAAATTGTATGGTATTCGATAATTACACGTGTAAACAGGAACCTACCTTTGCTAATGTACACTGTTTGGCAGATCTTTCCAGCGTAAGATATAAAACTAGTACGTGAAATGAAATTAAAGAACTCATCAAGTCAAATTACCTGATCGTACCGTCATTACTGAATAATAAGTCCGCAAAATATGACATGGAATGATCGGTGGGAGACGAAGCTATTTTTAGGAGGACAAGGAACTGCACGCTGGAACGGAATTGAAATGAACAACCTCAATCAAGTTCAGTCTTCTTGACGCTATTAAACGTTTCACCCGAATTTGAACAGGAAGTTGTTTTCTCTTGTCTTTCTCATTCTTGCATGTATTCTGCAGTTCGCCCACTATTTTTTCGTAACTTTTAATTTTCTAGCTAACTGGAACTGTTAAGAACTACCAACCCCCCTCCCCCCCCCCCCTCTTTTAGTGAACTTTCATTCGGTCTGATTCACAATAATTTTCGAACGGTGAAATGACATTTTATTTAGTATTTTTAAAAACTCCTTCTTTTTTTGCCGATAGCCAGGAATGTTTTGAACGTAAAGGCTCAAGTGGCGGTGTTTTTCACGACTCTGCTTGTAGACTGACCTCACCACCAGTACCACGGACATAAAATCTGATCGGAGAGGGTCATACAGTAACTGATGGGTCTCTGAAAAGCGAAATGCAGTCACTTGGGGCGAGTAGGCTATATAGATGATGAACTCATTGTTTATAACCCCATAACCGTATCCCAAAAGTCAAGCCAGCCCGGGGCGAGCGAACACAATTTTGGGGCCACTGGCCACGCCCTTATGTTTAGCACCTTTCCAAATATTGCCCTTCTTATCATCATATAGTTAGGGCCTCCCGTAAGCATTTGCAACTATTTTGATTCGTAGAAGACTGTTTAACAGTTTTCATTACTTTAATGTCTCGTGAACAACACGAGGTACATGTTCTGATCTCTCTCCCCCCACCCTTCCCCCATCCATAACAAAAAATTTTCAGACCAACACTGAATTGCATGAAGGTATGTACAAAAATATGACCATCTCGAGGCAAGGTTCATCACTGTAACTTACCACGTAAAAGCCTTTTGGTTGTTTGCCATCGACTGATTCTGTTCTGAATACTAAGGTCCCATAAACAACGCCACGTTTAGAAAGAGCCCGCCCTTTTCAATCCAAGAAAACCCAAGTAGCGATTTCACCAACGGACATAAGCCGTAAGAAAAGGACCACGTCAAATAGTTCATGAAATCACAAACGCCTCATGACACCTTTAATTCACTCTTTCTTCGATAAACTAATTTTTAATTTTTTAAGCATAAATGACATCAGAATGCGCGATTATGAGCAGTGTAGCTTATGAAAAGAAAATTTAACACCTGATGCACATGAAAGCGTCTAAGAAGGGGACTAGGGGGAATTAGGAACATTGTGCTTACCGCTGGAAAAATATTGGCTAGTTCTTTGAATAGACTCAATTAAAGCCGTTTTTGTTCAGTAAGGAGCTGTTAGATGGGGGGAAAGCTACATAAAGTAGATCGCATCAGAATACGGCATAGGACTAGGCTCTCAAAATCGATAAGCTGAATGCAAGACCAATTATTATGTAAAACAGAGAAAAATTCCTTGAGGGAAAAAAATTATGGCTAGGGAAAAGACCCGAAGGTGGAAAGTTAGGATGGTAGCTTCTTTTCAGGTAATCGATCATTTACGTTAACTTCCGCTATCCGACGGGCATATCGGAAAGACTGAATGGATGAGAGTATAACACATTCAAGAAGAAACAAATTTGTGATTTTTCACAACTCAATAAAATAACTAAAATTGTGTACTACTCGGTTATACAAGATTTTTGTTTTCAATTTCAGATTTTTACGATGGGGACATTAGCCCCCGTACTCACTAGACACTACTTTACAATCATCGTGTTAAAATCAGTGAAATACTCCAAAACAATTTGGATTCCTATCCTTATACCTTTATTAAAAATTAAGTTGGGAAGTTTGTTGTTTTCTAAAAGTAGTTTGAACAGCCGAACGACATTTTTTTTACACGGAGTGGGGAAGGCAAAGCTTCACTTATCTCTTCTAAGGTAGAAAGTGTCAGCAAAACGTGAGAGTCGTCCTTGAGGGTAAAGTGTCTAACCTAATTTTCTCAGTGAAAAAATGCAAATGCCATTTCATCCACGCATAACCTCACCTAGTTAACAGAATTAGCAAATGTAATGGGGAAACGTTGCGAGAGAACTGAGTAAGATGTTAGGGTAAGTTTTGGAAATTTTCCGCACACCTGGAAAGTCCTGGCTACGCTCCTGATAGAGACTTTTGCTGGAGAGAAATTGAAACATAAGATAGTTCCAGAAAACCACCCATTAAAATAAGTTGTCGCGGCGGAGGATGAACTTGAAGGCCTCTGATGAATTGCAATTTTTCAAGGGAGCCCAGACAGGATTATGTACGATGGGCACAGCTTGTTTGATCCGGAAAATTTAGAGAAGCTCAAGGCAAATCGCTAGACAACACATGCTAGAGCTGAACTAAAAATCTTTTGCGCCTTTGAACTCTGTCCCTAAGGGTAAAGGAGAAAGTTTCCCTTTATCAATGCATTAACCGAGTTGATTATGAATGTCTCCTTATGTTGGACGTCTTACTAACAAGCACATTACCACTACTTGCCCTCAGTGGCATTTTTCATTTGACGAGAAAATTAGGTTTTGACTGTTTGAAATTCTGGATGCCAGAGTGAAGACGCCTTTTGTATGATGACGTCATCGTCCTACAGTAAAAAGCGTTCGTTTTTTACCACTGATGTTACCTCAATCGGTACACTTATGTTGTCGAAAGGTCCGTGAGCATGGTAAATGATTTTACCTTAAACCCGACCTATCCAATCGAACAGTTCGGCAATCGAACCCAATCGAACACCAATCGTTCGATTGCAGAACTCAATCGAACATAATCGAATTCACAATAAAATTTTGCCAATCGAACACAATCGAACGTTCGATTACCGAACGATTGGTAATCGAACCCAATCGAACGTTCGATTACCGAACGATTGGTATAATCGAACGTTCGATTAATGGACGCCGCATCGCATGATAGGCACGTGGTATTGGAAAATTCCGAGGGTGAAAGTGAAATCACCGCTAACTCCCTTCCCTTTTTACGCGGCTTTTGCTGAGCACTGAAACCCTCCTCGTCTCCACGTCACTCTTGGCCACCCTGGAGAACCTGGAGAGAGTAATGGCTGAAGCGAGGTCCCTTCTGCTTATTATAATACTAATTTTAAACACAAATGCCTGTGTTGCTGTTGTTGAAATGGTGCGATTTTTCTCTGTTGAGAAGCATTTCCTTTTAACAGTCACAGTACCTTAACAGAATCGAAATTGCCTTTTATTTGTTTTGTTTTGTTCGAACATTGACATTCTTGCAGTATGATGTTCAGTTCCTGTTTATTCAATAAAAGCTGACAATGATTATATTCCACGTGTTTTACTCAGTTTGAGGCGTCAAGAGACAATTGCATTGGATTAGTTCGATTTTGTTCGATTTTGGTCGATTATGTTGGTTCGATTGGTTCGAAAATCGAACTCACAGCAAAATAGGTGTTCGATTTCGTTCGATTGCCCAACCCAATCGAACGATTGGAGTTCGATTGGGTTCGATTGGTTTTTTGTTCGGTTTTGTTCGATTGGATAGGTCGGGCTTAAACTGCAGACACATCTTCAATCACTCCTTATTGTTCGCGATATCGGATAAACACTCTGGTCTGTAACTGAATTTTCTTTGCTGTTTACTTTATTTTGAATTAGGACTGTCTTGAGTTGTCCATGTATTGTCTAGCGATTTTAAGCTTTTTCAAGGAAACAAAAATCTGGAATTGTCCCTAGGGTGAGGCATTTGCGCACAGTTTTAAAGCCCTTCCGTGGGGTGACTGTGGTTTTTGCTGTCCCGAGCTCATCCCTCATTCTTCTTAACCTCTTCCAATTTTTCTGTTTATCAAGAAACTCCTCAAAACGGGCTTCGTGATTGAGACAAAATACCTGAAAATTGTACACGGAACCGTTGTTAACGGTGTACAAGGTAGAATGAGTCTATTCATTACTTTGCCAACGCCCAATTTTTAAAACCGGAAGTAATGGTGTTTATTTCACGGGCTCATGTCTCATGAGTTTTGAGTTAATCTTAAAACGCTGTAAACACATGTAGCTGGAACTATCATCGCATCGATCCTCGCTCACTAATAATGATAACTTATATCAACTTCCATTATTTATTGCCTGCCTAAGATTTTCACGGATTCTTCAGTTCAGTTGTTTGAAACCAGGCGGTTTCACGTGAGTTGTAACGCCAGGCAAGGAACGTGACGACCCGCGATATGCGTGGGAAAATATTCCTTTTTCTTCGATCAAGGTGGAAACTGGCAACTTTGTCGTCGAGTAAGGTAATACATCTCAATTTTCATTACTATGGTTAATTTTAAAAGCTCTGGTTTCGGTAAAGGAACTGGAGGAAAATCAGGAAAATTCCACTTCGACTGTGATGGTTGAATTTTGTTTACGCGTCATAGCATAAACATAACAAATTCATTTTCCTTTTCCTTATACAATCTGCCTTTTTTATACTGTTTTTCGCAGCAGAGTTATCGATTATATTACAGAGGCTAATTTATTACACAGATCACTCAGATTTAATGACAGAAACTCTATTATCGATTGTAATTTTGGCAACACCTGGCGAGTATTCGGTGTACAGATTATTGACAAAGTCGCTAGAACAGTCTTCCATTCATTACTTTTGTTTCTGCTCCGTTAAATTTGCCCAATTTTTTTATTAATGAACTCGATTTAACTACAAACAGTGAGTATTCAGGCAGGTTGGCAAGCTTCAATGCGATGTGGCAAAAGAGATATACGCCTTTAAAATTCTGTTAATTTTGCGGGTGTAAAAAATTCAAAAAGTATACCCACCAAAAGTTTAATCGATCTTTGCGAAAACGTTATCAATTTCGAAGTAGTTTCTAAAAATACAATAAAGAGGGATTGTTCTTTCAATCTGTATTGGCAAAGGAAGATTAGCTTTGAAGACAGGGTTGTAGTCGAAGGCTCAAAAGCAGCTTCTATTAACCAATATGGTGCCGGTCCGAGGCACCCAAAAACCGGCCATGTCGATAATTTCCGAAGTAGGAGGAATTAGAACCTAAAGTTACCTATTCCTTATTAAAGACCTCAAATCAAGTCTACTTGCCAATTTTTAGCCATTTCGGTGAGATAGTGTGGCAGCGCCTTTTTAACATAGCTCGAATCTTACAGACAACTGCTCTTAATTTGCTCTGCGCATTCAATTCCCTTCAGCCAATGAAAAAATTCGTATTTTCCGTTGCTTCCAGAGCCAAACTAAGCCGAGTGGCTCTGGGGACGAGAATGGAATATGTTTGCACGAGCAGCAATGGTTTGTGTGTTGGTGCTTAAATCCGATTCAATCCTTGATTAAATCCGCAAGACACTACATTTTGGCGACGAGGACGGTCATTTGAAGAAGTTCAATCGAAATGGCAAGTGTATATTTAAGCGACGCACAAGGATTAAAGCCATTTGACTGTTCAGAAACTGCTGGTATTTTCGCACGCTGGGAAAGATGGCTTCGAGCGTTTGAATTGTTTGCGACGGGAAAAGGAGTCAAAAATGTCGATCAGAAGAAGGCTTTATCGCTGCATACTGCCCGATTAAATGTGCAAGACATTTATTTCACGTTGACCGAAGAAGGAGGGTCAGATAGCTATGACAAAGCAAAGGCGACCTTGAATAAATATCTCAAACCCCAAGCGAATGTTCCGTATGAAAGGCTTTGTTTTCGTGAAACAAGTTAACTGGCAAACGAAACTGTCGAACAGTTTGTTACTAGACTGGGGCAAAAAGCCCAAACCTGCGAATTCGGAGACGCTGCAACTGTGGATGAGCAAATTCGTGATCAAGTGATAAGCAAATGCTTGTGCACGAACTCCGTCAGAAGTTACCTCAAAAGGGTCGAAACTTGACACTGCCACAATTGAGAGAAATTGTTTGTTCTATGGAGGAATCTGAAAAACAGGCCCGTTCAATCGAAGGAGGAAGTGGTGAGGTCGGTAGTGAAGTGAATAGTGTGAGGGGAAAGACGAAATACAAAGGGGATGCGAGCGCAAGAAAGTCAAATGTTTTTGTTGTGGATATACGGGACATGAAGCCAACGATCGTCGTTGTCCAGCGAGAGGGAAACAGTGCAGGAATTGTAATGGATAAGGACATTTTGAGGCTGTGTGTAAAACTAAAGAGAAGCAAACCAGTGGTAGAGGAGCTGGAGGGCCGGGTAAAACAGACGTCGGAAAGAAGGGAGGTGCATCTCACCATATAAGGCAGGTAGAAGCTGAAGGTACTCAGGGTGATGATTGTGAATATGCTTTTGGCATTTTAGACGTTTCTAATGTTTCAAGTGAAGGGAAAATTCCTGTGAAGGTAGGAGGTTTACCAGTGACAATGATTATTGATTCTAGTGCTAGTTGCAATGTCATAGGTCGTAATGTATGGGAATATCTGAAAGCAAATAAGGTTGCATGTGAGTCAACTAAGGCTTCAAAGAAGTTGTATGCATATGGTAGTAATCAGTTGCAGGCATTTTTACCGCAGAAGTGTCTGTTAGAGAGAGCGTGTTAAGTGGGGTGGAATTTGTTGTCATTGAAAATAAGGGACACGCCCTCCTTGGGTAGGAAACTGCCATTTCTCTAGGAAGTTTGAAGCTGGGAGCTCACGTGAATTCACTAGAGGTTTCTACGGATGGAGCAAAAGGGGAGGCCAGTATTTTTTGAAAAGTTCCCGGGATGTTGTGAAGGTTTTGGCAAAATGAAAGATTTCCAGCTAATAGTCCCGATTGACCCAAAGGTACAGCCTTTGGCACAACCGATTAGGAAGGTCCCTTACCACTTGCGTGATAAACTGAGTACCAAACTGGATGAACTTGAAAAAGTGAGTGGACCAAGCTCGTGGGTCTCACCAGTGGTAGTGGTGCCCAAGCCCACAGGTGATATTTGTTTGTGTGTGGATATGCGACAAGCCAACACGGCCGTAAAACGAGAGCGTGTCCCAATACCCACCATTGACGAAGTTTATCAAGATCTGAACCAGAACAAGTTCTTTAGCAAGTTGGATCTTACCTCCGCCTATCATCAGCTAGAACTGTCGCCCGAATCAAGGGATATCACTACATTTGGCACACACAAGGGACTCTACCGGTACAAACGACTCATGTTCGGTATAAGTTGTGCACCTGAGATGTACCAGATGGTACTTCACCAAGTCCTGCAAGAGTGTGACCGAGCTCATAATATTCTTGAGGATGTAATAGTACATGCACCCACTGAGGAGGAATATGACAAAAGATTTGAGAATGTGGTCCGAATACTGAGCAGCAGGGGCTTGACACTGAACCGAGACAAGTGTCAGTTTAAGATGTCGCATTTGGAGTTCATCGGTCATGTTTTGTCGGCACGTGGAATTGGTGCAGCAGATGTTAAAGTAAAGGCTGTTGTTGATGCCTGTGAACTGACGAATGCTGCGGAAGTACGAAGCTTCTTTGGTCTGGTCAATTTCACTGCACGGTCTATTCAAGACTTAGCAACAGTATCTGCACCCCTCCGCCAGCTTACAAAAAGTGGAGAACCATTTGTGTGAGGGCCGGAGCAAAAGTAATCATTTGATGAGTTAAAGAAGTAACTGTTCAGTGCAGAGACACTTGGATACTTTGATAAGAAAGCACCGGCTAAGGTGATCGCAGACGCAAGCCCTGTAGGCTTAGGAGCCGTGCTAGTTCAAGAGCAAGGAGAAGAACTGCGAGTTATTAGTTATGCAAGCCGCAGCCTTTCCTTGAGAACCGACAATGGTCTGCATTTTACAAGTGAACATTTTACGAAGTACTTTGAGGAAAACGGAATTACACATGTAGACGAACCGCACTCTTATGGCGCAAGCCAATGGTGAAAAAGAAAGACAAAACCGCAGTATCCTGAAGCACCTGCGTATTGCTCAAGCAGAGGGTTGCAACTGGAAATCAGAGATGGATAACTTCTCAATGATGTATCGCAGTACTCCACATTCTACTATTGGGGTTAGCCCGGCAGAACTATATTTTAAAAGACGTATCAGGACCAAACTACCCCATCTCCAAGAGTTCGGCATCGAAGATGAGGTTCAAGATCGCGACAGTGAGAGAAAAGCAAAGGGAAAAATGTATGCAGAATGCCAAAGGAATGCACGTGAAAGTGAGATTCGAGAAGGTGATAAGGTGTTACTGAGGCAGGAGAAAGAGAAAAAACTGTCAACGCAATACATACAGTCTCCCTTTACAGAATGTAACCCATGTGAAGAAGTATTTCGAGCGAGATTATGATGTATTATCAGACACTAGTAAGTCAACAGATGCTTCAGAGGCTCAGAGAGCAACACAAAGTTTATCAAACCAAGAGTCCAGAGAAACTGTAAATGTTTCCTCTGAGAGAGCAAGTGAGGACGGCCCATTAGAGTACACACGATCAGATGATGCTACTATAGGGCAAAGAGATTCTGTCACCTTACGTCCAACAAGAGTCAAAAGATTACCGTCTAAATTTCAAGGCTATGTTTTAGGCTTTATTCAGCTTGACTCAGAGCAGAACTTTGAGACTTTGAGAATAGGAACTCTGAACTGAACTTGAACCGTTTCTTATGTTTTGTTGTATTTCCACTGAAACCACTTTGGAGTGTTTAGTCGTATTAGGATTTCTGTAGGGCACTCAGAGACATCTGTATACATTGTTAGCTAGGCTTTATTTTCTACTCGTTTTTTTTTTTTTTTAACCCAACAAGTAATTCGAAGAAGGGAGGAATGTAGTATATGAATATTTAGGTCTACCTTCCCCACCCCCCATGTTTGTATTATCGAGCGGGTGCTCTGACTGTAATATAATGATTGAATACATATGTTTGCACGATGGTGCGTGTGTTGATGGTTAGATCCGATTCAATCCTTGGATAAATCCGTAAGACACTACACATCTTGCTTCCTGCCATCGATTACGAATACTACTACAACACTTTTTTCCACCACGAGTTTATTTTCTCCCGTATTTCTTGGTAATTTTAAGGCGTCAAGCCACGGTATTTTCGGTAATTTAATCCTTCTTTGTTAACTCTGAACTTTAAACTTCAAATTGGTGAAAGAGTCCTCTTTGGCTGACAAAATTGTCATCTCCACGTAGCAACTGATAATTTTCGAGCATCAGACTTTCGTACAAATAAAGACAAACTTGAAACAAACTTGTTCTTTAAATTTAGTTGAATGCAATATCCTGTTTAGTTTTGGCATTTCGTTATTCCTCTTCTGTTCTTCCACATTTTCAAGCAGTAATGCGCCAATATTTTCTGAGTCAATTTTTTGATCGCCTGGTAAGTACCGAAGTTGCCTGAATAAGTGTGAGATCGATCTAGCTCCATTTGTTTGTTTCTTTATGGCTGTTGTTTCCCTCCATGTAAGGTAATCGGAATACCGGAATCGGAGAAAAAAATGTGGGATCATTTTACGTTTCTGGGAAACTGGTGACCTACCCCTTCGCTGAGCCAACATTTTGCCTTAAGTTAGAAGTAAGTGTTAATGTCGGCTTAGGTGAGGGGTAGGTGGGCAGTTTCCCAGAAACGTAAAATGATCCAAAACGTGCTTGTAGAATGTGGAATCCTGGAATTTGGAATCTGTGATTCTACTCGAGAAACCAGACTCCTACTTATAATTGGAATCCGCAATCTAAATGCCACTGACAACCGGAATCCAGAATCCACGGCATGGAATTCAGAATTCAAGACTTTCTTGGTTTACGTTTTATGGAGCGAGTTGTTGTTGGTGATGTTTTTTTGTAATCTTAACTCAATCATTGACGTCTTATGAATAATGTATACCACGTACCTGAACTATAAGAGATAGCCGTGTAAGTTGCATTAAACCCTGGGTATTGACTGTTCAGAGACGTGAATATGACTTGAACGGAACTCCCTACCGAGTACACTGGATGAGGAAGAGACTGACCACACAGCATGAACGGCTGATACCCATCATCTGAAGCAACATTTGTGACTGTAACACGGGCTCCTGGAGCATCATGATAGCAGGGACTGTACTGATTTGGCTCCAATCGAAAATAGAAGAAGCTAAGTTTAATGATGTACCCGCTAGGAACTGTGATATTCCAGGTACATCTGCTGTATTGAGGGTAGTTACTCGGAAATTTTGGAGTTGAAAAGAATCCAATGAAGCCATGTAGATATTCGCCAGAGATACAAGCTGCAACAAGGGGAAATAAACTATGATTTAGCCTTATAGTACAAAATCAAAGAGTAACCTGTCTGTGAACCAAAAAAAAAACCAAAACAAGAAAACTCAATCGAAAGCGTTGCAATAGACAAAATTAAATAATAGATTTGCTACCAAGCACTTTTAACATCATGTAAATGAAAATTGTTGGCATTTCACCGACATTTGAGTTATGTGTTGTTTTAATCGGTAAAGTATTTGAATGTTACAGTTGCTATAAGCCTGTTATAAGGCAATAATATTTTATCTAACTTGCTTGAAAATTGATCACCTGCACATAAACCTTTAACTTTGCGTTTAAAGCCGATTTCTAACAACTTACCGGTGGTTGTTGCATTATATTTCACTTTAATGTAAGTTGCCTTAAATCCACTGTACTTCCAGTAAGTATAACTATAAGAAACAAACGTCACCCTCAGAACATCTTTTGCTGAATGGTATACTATCCCACTGTCTTTATCTGATCTACATCTTCGCTTGCCTGAGATGCCATCAGAGGATAAGCCATTTTGTATTTCCACGTAGTCACACGTGCAAGATGAATAACAGTCCCAAATATGAATGTCTTCAATGACCAACACAATGCGTTCTCCTTTACTTGCTGTAATTTTCCAGCTGCATTTCTCGTTAGAAGGGTAAGGCCTTGGGTAGTAAGGACTGGTAAGAATTCCTGATGTCTCATTCAAGGTTGCCATCTTGGGACAGACTGCAAGCCATACAAATGGACTGAGCATAAGTATCGAGGACGATTAGAATTATACCACTTTCAAGGAAGAATCTAGTTAACTTGGGAAGGAATTAGATCAAAACCAAATGCGGGGCGGAAAGACTGAACAATTTAGGGTGCGCCAGAAGCGTTTTTTGTTTGTTTCTGGAAAACCTTTTTTTCAACCATCGAGATGACGTTGTCTTACGAGTCCATTCGGTGACTCAAACTGACATTTTAGTAGGTATTAGGTGCCTGCACTTACTTTAAAACTTAAGGCTTAAATCTGCAAGGTTTTGCTCGTGACTCAGGATATTCAGAGATACTTCACTCTCAATACACGTCTTCGTAAATAAATAATTGTAGTCCTTTTAAATGTTTCGTTGAATAATATTTTTTGTCCTGATTGTTTGTCAAGACATCGATCTGATCTTTCTTATCGCTTTGCTTATTGCTATTTTCAGTCGTCCGTGAACAATGCGCGTGCAGGAGTACCTAAAATGCCGCGTGTATCAAATGGATATGGCGTTTTAGAAGTAAATGCAAACGAAAATGATTCTGAGACCTTTTCCTCATTACCAGCCTTCATTCAAATACTCAACAGCTCGCTTTGTACGTTTTGCGCTTGGAAAAAATTTAGAATTGGCTGGTCGGACGGGTGATTTTGTAAATTGAATTAAAATAAATAAGTTTTTGCTCAAAGCCCATCATTACCCTGCGTACTACATAATGGCAGATTGACCTGACTGAACAGTCCCATCTAATGGTGAATTCTCTATATAAATTACTTTTTATGATGTTATTTTTATAATTTGTTGTGCAAGGAAAGCGCGTGCTTCGATCGTCCTGAATATTGAATGAGTGCAATTTGTCTTGTAAGATTATTCTGTAAAAAACTGCAGAATTATAACTAAAATAGGGAAAAAAATGTGACATAAATTCTGTCCGAGGTCTGAAAAAAAAAAAAAAACAACGCCCGATAGTTGTGTTTACCTCAAAGATAGTGTAAAAAGGCTGGTTTACGCGTTACCAGGCTTGTAGCGAGCCACACACATAAAAAAAGCGGCCTGATTTTTTATTTTGGCCTTTCATTTAGACAGGGAGCTAAATTTGATCTTTCTTTGTTCACTCTGAGCCTTTAAACATCAAATTGGCGAAAGAAACCTCTTTGGCTGACAAAATTGTCGTCTGTACATAGCAACTGATGATTCTCGAGAGCATCAGACTTGCGTACAAATAACGACAAACTTAAAACACAGGTATTCTTCAAGTATACTTGAATGCAATATTATGTTCAGTTTTACCGATCCAATCGTGTTCCCTTTGGCATTTCATTATTCCTCTTTTGCTCTTTTACATTTTCAAGCAGTAATACTTCAATATTTCCTGAGTCAATTATTTGGTCGCCTGGTAAGTACCAAAATTGCTTGATAGTGTGAGATCGATCTAGCTCCATAAAAAGTGATTGTTTTCGTTTGTCTGTTTATGGCCGTTGTTTCCCGCCATGTGAGGTATGTAATCGGGATACCGGAATCAGAAAAAAAATTGGATTGTGGAATGCGGAATCCTGAAATTTGCAATATGTGATTCTACTCGAGGAGTCCGAAATCCTACTTAAGATTGGAATCAGCAATCTAAATGCCACTGACATCCGGAATCCAGAATCCAAGACTTTCTTGGATCACCTTTTATGGGGCGAGTTGTTGTTGGTAATGTTTTTGTAATCTTACCTCGATCATTGATGTCTTGTAAATAATGTATGCCACATACCTGAACTATAAGAGATAGCCGTGTAAGTTGCATTAAACCCTGGGTATTGACTGTTCAGAGACGTGAATATGACTTGAACGGAGTTCCCTACCGAGTACACTGGATGAGGAAGAGACTGACCGCACAGCATGAACGGTTGATACCCATCATCTGAAGCAACATTTGTGACTGTAACACGGGCCTCTGGAGCATTATAGCAGGGAATGTACTGATTGGGCTCCAATCGAAAATAGAAGAAGCTAAGTTTAATGATGTACCCGCTGGGAACTGTAATATTCCAGGTACATCTGCTGTATTGTGGGTAGTTACTTGGAAAATTTGGAGTTGAAAAGAATCCACTGAAGCCATTAAGATATTCGCCGGAGGTACAAGCTGCAACCAGAGGAAGCAAACTGTGATTTAGCTTTATAGTACAAAATCGAAGAGTAATCTGGCTGTGAACCAAAACAAAAAAAAAACTCAATCGAGAGCATTGCTATAGATAAACATAAAAAATAAGGCATTTGCTACCAAACTCTTTTAAAATTTCATACCAATAAAAATGGTTGGCATTTCATCGACATTTTAGTTTTTTTTCGTGTGTTACTCTGTAAAGTATATGAATGCAACAGTTGCCATGACCCTGTTATAAGGAAATAATATTTTTTATTCCTTGCTTGAAAATTTACAACCTGGTCCCCTGCACGTGCACCTTCAACTTAATTTGTGAAGGTGTTCAGCACATGTGTTAATGCGTTAAAAGCCGATTTCTAATGACTTACCGGTGGTTGTTGCATTATATTTCACTTTAATGTAAGTTGCCTTAAATCCACGGTACCACCAGTAAGTCCTAGCACCAGAAACAAACGTCACCCTCAGAACATCTTTTGCTGAATGGTATACTATCCCACTGTCTTTATCTGATCTACATCTTCGCCTGCCTGAGATGCCATCAGAGGATGAGCCATTTTGTATTTCCAGGTAGTCACACGTGCAAGATGAACCACAGTTACGAATATAAATGTCTTTAATGACCAGCACAATGCGTTCTCCTTTACTTGCTATAATTTTCCAGCTGCATTTCTCGTTAGAATGGTAACGCCTTGGATAATAAGGACTGGTAAGAACTCCTGATGTCTGATTTAGGGTTGCCATTTTGGGACAGACTGCAAGCAATATAAATGGACTGAGCGTAAGTATTGAGGAGTATTGGGAGCCTTTACTAAGGATTCGTTTATTAGGCATTTATTCGTGCTTTTCTTTCGTGGCTTGGTAAATATTAAACAATAGCCACTGACACTGAGCTGAATAATTGTTATTTAGAAGCATATAACGTTGAACTGTTTTCTCAGGCCCGGTTCAAATGTCGAATTTCACATGTGCCGAACTTAACGGGAGAGTTGAATGCATGAGAAGTGCGACGTTTGAATCAAATGTCGTATTTAACTATTTTAGTCGACTAGAATAGGAATTAAGTTCGGCACATGTGAAATTCGACGTTTGAACTGGGCCTTAGCCAAGACAGTTCAACGAGAAAAATCTTTTTGTTGCAAAAGCTGAATTATAATAATACTGCATGCAGATTGGGTACGCTTTTTCTACTCCGCCTGGTTACGATACTGTTACACATAATAATGTTCGTTGTATCAGAATGAGACTTTTAAAATAACGTACCTAATCTTGTTAAAGGTGCAAGCAGCATGGAAGACGGTGAAGGTGTTTCAGTTGTGCTTTTATCTAATGCCAGAGTAGTGCTCACTACGACAGATGACAAATAGCCTCGTTGTAAGCTGGTTGGAGAAATAGCTAACGATGACAACAGCAAGGAAGACACTGAGGGCAATACGGATGTGCCTTGCTCCAAAGCCCAGCTCGAACTCATTGCGACAGGTGAAGATTTGCTTCTGGGTGGACGGCTTGAACGAACAACTGATTTGGACACAACAGCCAATGATGACACCAGCTTAAGCGACACCGACGGCAATGCGGGTGTGCTTAGTTCTTTTGCCATACCAGGGCTCAGTGTCAGAAATGACCAACTACTTATGGCCAAAGTACTTGAAAGAGACAATTTTGAGGATGACGTGGAGACAGAAGACAGTGAAGGTACTGCGGCTGCATTTTGGCCTGGCACATTCGAATTCCCTGCAACATCGAGGACACTACTCGCCTCAGTGCTTGAATGGTCTGAGGATAACACTGCAGCAGATGTCATCAACACCCGGGTACATGTAGCTGTTATCAAAGACAATAACCATAATTTCTGATACTGTTTGCATTGAAAAAAAAAAAAAAAAAAAACAAAAAAAATTATATATTTAAAAGGTGTCTGTTACGCTCTCTGCTATCTTTTAAATGCTAATACCTGAACTCGCATCAATATAATGGTCTAGCTTTGTTATTTCATAGACTATGTTTAAGCATTGAAACCGTTTCCTTTCGTCTGTTACAAAAGATGGCAAGGATGACCCCAAAGATGAACACGGATTGAGAAAATGTTGGCCCCACTTTTAACGCTATGCCTGAAAAAATCACCCAAAAAATTGTGATAGGTAATGCTGCCTGCTGAGATTTGCTTGATGTCTTTGTTATATCTGTAACTCAGGAGAATATTTGTGACTTAACCCTTTCACTGCCAGAGAGCTTGATGGAGTTTTGTAAGGTCAATGTAACTTTCGAGTCTGAGGTCAAAATCCTATGTTGTGGCCACCTTCACAGAATGCTATTTCTTTTTCAAAATTTCACAAAAGGAAATCTGGAAATTTGGTCGAAATTGGCTTTTACTAAATTTGGCACTAACCACATAATTGACCAAAAACAGCAGCATCCTTGTGACATAGCCCCTTTTAGTACAAGTGATAAACCCGTTCATTCAGTTATGAGTAAAACGAAGAAACAAACAAAACGAAAAAAAAAAACGACTTTGAGAATTTCACCTACACTACATCAATTGCAGTTGCTCATAACTTACTCAAGAGAAGAAACAAACCACGAATCCATCGCATTTCCATACCTGAGTAGAGAACAATTCAGTGATACAAGAGACTAATTAAAACTTTAAAACAATTTAATGATATAGTTCCGATATTAGTACTGTCATTGAATTATAAATTGTTGTCACAATAATTTTATAGTGGACATCCCAATGGACACCCATGTTATGGTAAATTGACAGCTGTCAAAAAGAGCATCCGCTCACAAGTGGCACCTGACTGTATTGCGGACTCAAGTGTACAACTCATTGAGGTGACGTGTTTTTGGTAGTTATCCGCTAGCTAGTTTTTGGTTTTCATTGATCGCAGGCTCAGGTCTATAATGAAAGACTACATAATAAATAGCTTATTAACCTGGTCCGTCGCTATCGCACGGTCAATTCATCTGACTCGGTCTGAAATTTCCCTGTAATGACCTCACTCTCAGTTAATAAGTAGTATTTATTGTACCCCTCAGCCTTGGAACTAATTATGAATTGTAGTAATTCGGAACTGGCCTATAAGCCGTGAGTGTCAACAAGGTAATCGTTGATGTTTTAAAGATGTAAATACAGTAAAAACCCGCATATAAGAAGAACGTACAGGATGAAATTTGGCATTTAAATACCCCAAAATATAAGTACCTGTGAAGCCTGGCAAAGAAAAATAAGTTCTTATACAAAACAATCACTCCGATTTTGATGGTCAAAATTGTCGATTTTAATTGTGTGAGAAACTTTTGACAAAAGGTTATTGTGTATATGTTTTCTTTGATTTACATTTGTTTGGATTTTCACTAGAAGTATGTTTTCCATAAAGCTACCGTGCAATATAGACGATTTACAATCTTAATATCTCATTTAAAAAAATATAGAAACGTATTGATATTCTTCTTGGACATTGAATGTTTGCCTTTATGTAATAGTAGTACAATATTTCTGCCAATGGTTACACTATGACAACCTCTGAAAAATAAGAACCCTTTAAGAAAGATATACCCTTTTTCGGGCTTCAGGGATAGGAAGTGGTAGGGATTTCATTGGTTGTGAAGTATATGAAAGGGAGGGAAATAAGACAGTGAAAGGACCAAAAAGGGCTCAGAAACGCATTTTATGGATGTGAAATTAAGAGACGAGAAACCGTCCTGGTTTAGTATAGGTAATAGCATGATTTGTAGTGATATTTGGCATAAACACCACGAGTGATATTTCAAAATTGTTATAGGTAATTTCACGAGCCGTTAGGCGAGTGAAATTTGAGACAATTTTGAAATATCACAAGTGGTGTTAATGCCAAATATCACACACAAATCATGCTATTATTTGTTTATACCACTACCCGCAAAAGGTTTGTAATTTTCACAAGTAGGTATTTCAAATGAAGCTGAAATACCACTGCTCTAAGCCAATAAAATTGCAGAAATTTCTCCTGTAGTAGTATAATATAGGTAATAGCATGATTTGTAGTGATACTTGGCATAAATACCACGAGTCATATTTCGAAATTCTTATACGTAACGACGAGTGAAATTTGAGACAACTTTGAAATATCACGAGTGTTATTAATGCCAAATATCACGCAACAAATCATGCTATTATTTGGAATGTTTATACTACTACCCGCGAAAGGTTTGTACTTTTCACATGTGGGTATTTCAAATGAAGCTGGAATACCACTTCTCTAAGCCAACCAAATTGCAGAATTTCCCATCTAGTAGTATAAAGTGATTTATTTACATTAAAAAGACGGTGAATTTACGGCAGTTAAAAGGGAAGCAGTGTCTTAAACTAGTTATGTGAGAGGGGTACCATTTGTCAGTAGAAGGTAGACAAAATGGGTGCATTTTCTGTGAAAAAATAATGGTCAGTTTATAAAAAGGGTAAGTGGCTGGACCTCGTAGCGGAACTTCGACGTATGACATTTGTTTGAGTACCCCCTCCCTCCCCCGCCCGGGCTACTCCAATGCAAACAATACATGGTTGGAAGTTCTCGCGCAGCAATTTACTACGCATGTTCATAACGTCAAGGAAGAAATAATATGTGCGAGATAAGTAGGCGCCACATAAATGTTGCCATGATTACTTACTACCACGCATTCGTCGGAGCTCTCCAAGCGTTGTTTTGTAAATAGATGCCTTTTTAACTTCATTTAGTTTAATGCTTGAAAGGAAACATGTATTTTTTTACTGCATGGTTAACTTGCACGTGTGCATGCGATTGTTTGCTTTAATCTATCAATAAAGATCTTCAAGAATGTCTGCTCGGCCTAACAAGTGCCAACTCATTCCAAGGACCCAGATTTTGAATACGTTTTTCATACATATTTTGATGATAAAGTGACTGTTTCACTCACTGAAACACCAAGAAACTAATAAATTCGATCGTGGCGTGCCCAACTGTTGGCTATTTAAATTTATGACATAAACTCAATATAGGACCTTCGCAGTGCTATAGTTGGAAGTCTTGGAACTAGTGTTGTTTACCGTACGTTCATCGTATCAAGCTTAATCATTCTATTACAAATTAGTAAGCAACTCCAGTTTTGAAAGTTTAAAAGATTTTAAACTGTTAAAGACTTTAAACTATTTCTTATCTAAGCTATTGATTGCTCACTTTGAAGGTGTAAATACGAAAGATAGAGCTCACTTCTTGTTTACGCTTAGTGGCTTCGCATTTGTTGACCTTTAACGTGACGCTGAAGTGCTTTCCTCCACTGCGAAAGCGTAAGTTATGCACATTTACTTACGTTTGAGTTAAAGATATCTTCTCTTACCTCCAAATCGTAGATCTCTTGGTAAGCCTCGATAGTTTTAGCCTGAGAAGCTGCACCTAAGCTTTTCTAGCGTAATATCGAGCAGACGTCTGGAGCCAAACGACCCCCCACCCATCGAACCTTTAACAGCAGTCCACAGGGAATTACGAAGAAGCCGATATTCTTTGTTGTTGTTCTGTCAACCATTATACTCAAAGATGACAGTCAGGCTCAGTTTTTCTTTAACTTCACTGATATGACGAAAAAAAAAAACAGATACTAAAGTATGGCCTTCTACTCTAAGGTGACCCGAAAAAGATGGAAATACGATAACATCCCTTACGGAGCATGCGTCAAGTTAGAAGTATATGATGTATGGCATCATCGTATTCGAAAACTTCCCTTTCCGTCCGTAAACGAGAAGCCGGCGTTTACAAAAATATCCGCTGTGTAGAGCGTTTTTGAAAAGTTGCGTTTTCGTTTACCCTGTTTCACCGGATAAGTGTGGACGGTAGGCAAAACTGGAGGAAAAAAATAGCCGTTTTCAAACAAAAACAGACACGTGCGGACGGGGCCTTAGGCACAGGCCACGCGTATCGGGTTATTTTTGAAAACGGAGAACCCCCACGAAACGGAGTTTTCGGGCGACAAAACTGCACGTTTTAGGTAAGCGATTACCATGGAATTTCTTGAAAACGCTGGATTATAGTTTTAGTGTGGATGAACGAAAACTAGGTTTTCGAATACTGTACATGGGCGTAGCCAGCCCATAGACCTGTAGGCCCGGGCCTACAAATTTTTCGTTTGATTACTCTATCGCTTGTAACAAAGTATGCGTTGTTGGGGTGAGCTATAAAGCTTAAGAGGTAAAAGTGATGGTGAAGTCAGTGCATGCCAGTCATGCGTACAATTTTCAGTATATGTGGAAATGAAAATCAGCCAGGCCTACAAAACTAAATTCTCGAAAAGCTGGCTACGCTCATGCTGTGATTTCAGATATCATACAGCGCATGCCTTGTAAAGGATGCTACATATCCATTGTTTTTGTGTTTCACACGATGCGAATTCGAATACTATACGAATAAGTGTGGACGCCTTTTTTTTTTTTAATTTCAAAACCGGAGAAAAATCTCCGTTGTTAAAAATATCCGAATAAGTATGTGGACGAGGCGTTAGATTAGCAAAACAACTTTGCGTGTCGAGTGCAACACACTTTTGGGTGAATTTCCTTTGCCGTTATTTCACCTCTACGACGTGAAGTTGCCAATAATTTCAAGCTTCATAGAGAACGTAAACAAATGACGACGGATTTCTCTTTCTCTTTTGAACTTGGATATTTTCTTAGGAATTCAACTCCAGAAGAGTTCGCCTACATTATTTTAACAAAGCGAGCGAGTTAAGATAATCAGTCTTGCTGAAGTTTCAAAGAACGCCGTAGTGTTTACATACTTATACCCGTTTTAGTCCGTTTTAGAGTCAGACTTAAGTACAGGCTATAGGTGTAAAATGCAGAAGGAGTAATGCAGACTTGAGGGAAAATGTAGAATGAGTTAATGTCAATTAAATTTCTTTTGAGAGATTATAGTGGAAATCAACTCATGTGCATATCGCTTCTTTCTATTACCCTCCGATTTTTTGGGAGCGAGGTAAGTACGGCATTGTGATCATGTCATATGAACGAAATACATTCAAACCCCCATATGAAAGTGGTGGGATGCTTGTCGGAAATTTTGAATTAAGCCCCTAAAAGAGACCGATCTGGGCGGGGCCCTAGCTTTTTTTGACCCGTAAAAACACAGACAATATATATTTTTTAATACTTTTTCGCGTGCAACCCTAAACGAGACCTTCACGGCTAAATCTGATGGCGTTTTGCCCAGAGCACCCTAAGTGAGACTAAAATCCGAAATTTATACCCCTAAGCGAGACGACGAGCATCCCTATCCCTTTCATATGGGGAGGGCCCCCCCCCCGGGGGTTGAGTGAACGATATTGAACAATGCACAAATATATCCCCACCATTGCATGGCATAGTAAAATTCACCATAAGTTCGATTCTTTCCCAGAGAGGTTTGCAATCCAGGATGATATCTTTCCTCGGATTTTTACCCTACCTCACTCACTTTAGGTTAAGAAACTGAAAAGCTCGGTTGGAAAGTTGGTTGACCAGTGTTTCGGTGTTATTCCGATATCAAGAGGGAGTCTCCCTAAAACCGGTCCACTGCGTTTCGTGTCGGAGAATCAATTTCCTTTAAACCTTGCCCATGAATTTATCTTGGTCCAAAAGTATTTGAAACCGCATTAGTTTTTGAAAATATTTCAAAATAAAATTTTTCGGGAGGAAAATCTCTTCAGCGCCCAGTGGCCAAATTTTTGCAGTGACAGAGTAAAAATTGCGCATATTGTCGAGTTCGCCACTTCAAAGTTTTTCACTTTAAACGATTTTTTTCACTTCCAAGGATTAAATTGGTCCTTAAATGATGTAAAGCACACAAATTTGGTCCTTCAAAAACAACTCATATCTACCAAATATTTTTTGATTTACACCCACTTTGCCTTAGGCGGGAAAGGGCTCTGATATGCATATTTTCATCCTAGCTCTATGCAAAATCCCCAAATCTTCTAAACAACATACTTTTTCAGACCAACAAAGGGAATGCCCAGAAAACATAGAAACATAAAAATATGTTGTGATTTAAGCGATTTATCAGCACAGCCGATCGACGAAATGTGCCTCATTTTCTGTTATGACTGTTTACAATAATGGAAGGTCTTAATGCAAAGCCGCAATAACACAATAATTCATTAAACGTATCAAGTATTTTGAACTTTTTATGACTTTTAACATTATAGCGGAGCTCCTCGCACGCGCGAAGCGCGCGCGAAGCGGAGCACCATGGGTAAGAAAATTTGGTAAACTATCCTCCTCAGAAAATTTGGTTATGACGTAGAGTACGCCCGTCCGTACACACATTTCATGTAAGCCGATGTGAAATGTCACAATAGCTCTTGCACAACTTAACACAAGGTCCCTCTCTTTTGGCGGGGAATTGCGCGTGTGGGCAACCCGCGTTTTGCTTGGCGGGAAATCGGACGACCATCGTTTGAGTTCACAGCTTGTCATAGCAAAACGATCGAGAGTGTTGAGTTTTAAACTTCATTGAAAAACCTTCGTTAGTTATGTCAACAAACGATAATAGAATAAATACAACGTGTAGAGGACTGGGCTTAAATGAAGAGCAACGGGAAAGTGAGCGGCAGAGAGCAAGAAGGCAAAGCTTAACTGACGAGCAAAGGGAAAGAGAACGTCAGAGAGCAAGAAATAACAGGCAAAGAGCCAGCGAAGAAGATCGTGAGAGAGAACGAGCTAGGGCCAGAGAAAGGAGACGAAACTGCAGTGAACAACGACGGGAAGCGGAAAGAGCGAGGGATAGAGAAAGACGTAATTGCAGTGAACAACGTCGGGCGGCAGAACGTGTCAGAGCCAGCGAAAACAGACAAAGGAGACGAGAAAGAGAATTACAAGCGCAAAGACTACGACAGCAAAACAACAACATGTCAGCAGAAGGTTAGTGAGCGTCTCATCACAGAGTTCAGAAAGTGGGAAGAGCACCCCTGGGAAGAGCAAAACTTTTTCTGAAACGGGAGGGGTTAACGATAAAAGCTGCCGAAAAAAAAAATAAACATGCCTTCCTGAATGCATGCTGACCCACGTTATATATTTTGAAAGCCCGGTGCCGTTTAAAACAGAATTCAATCTCTTAAGCAGGAATGACACCGGGAATGACGTGACAGCTGTCGAAAGTGTTTTGTGTCGAAAATCTATAATGATGAGTTGTTTTCGTGACTAGATTTGATCTTGAGGTAGCAGAGACAAGTAAAAGGAAACACTTTTGATACTTGTCCAATCAATTGGTCGCGGTCCCCTTTGTAGTCTCGCCCTGATGTTTAAAGCCGTCAAAACGTTATCAGTTACAACCAAGCGCGTTTTGCTTTGTCAATGGCTAAAAGGTAAAGTACCGTTTTCCGGCCTTCACGTTCGTTTTATAATTCTGTTTTTAAAAGAGGGTTTTGGGTGTCAGGTTAATCAATATGATTTGTGATTAATTATGATGTGTCTGCTTTAATTTTAGTGTGTGGAGAACAGCAGCTTTATAGGTGTGATAACGAATGCGCTGAGATATCGACCGTTCAAACAGGCCAGTTGTCCCGTTGTCATACAGGTAATGAGTACATCGTATGTTTATCCAGAGTAAAAACGAAATTGTGAAGGAGACATTTCTGTTTTGCAGTTTTGAAGGCTTTAGATTTCCTGGATTTATGAAACACAATAAACTTAAATTTAGCAGCGGGCTTGAATTTTTCAGATGTTTTGCGAGTGCCTGGCTATTGAAAGAGATTTGATTCAGATTGTTTGGATTCAGGCCCTCTATTTCTTTTATTCAGGGTAATTTGAAGGAGGTATTCTCCCTCTTGTAATTGAGGTAACTTTTCTTTTACTGTTTAGGCTTTTCCATTTTGTAGATCTATATGTTCGAGTGTTCAAGAATATGTAAATAAGGAGAAATAAGCCAGCATGAGGTCTCGAAATGATTTTTGAATAGTAGCCGGCCATGTCGACAGGCTCGGCCATATGGTTTCTGACCGGTCAAAATATTACCTGCCAAGCAAATTTTAGTTCGGACCGGTCAAAATACAGTAAAAACTCGCGAGTAAATAGTCTGAAATGTTTGAAGCCGTCAAAACATTACAACCAAGCGCGTTTTGCTTTGTCAATGGCTAAAAGGTGGAAAGTACCGTTGCACGGCCTTCGCGTTCGTTTTATAATTCTGTTTAAGAGGGTTTTGAGTGCCAGGTAAATCAATAGGATTTGTGATTAATTGTGATGTGTCTGCTTTGATTTTAGTGTGTGGAGAACAGCAGGTTAGGTGTGATAACGGATGCGCTGAGATATCGACCGTTCAAACAGGCCAGTTGTCCCGTTGTCGTACAGGTAATGAATACATCGTATATTTATCCAGAGTAAAAACGACATTGTGAAGGAGACATTTCTGTTTTGCAGTATTGAAGGCTTTAGCTTTCCTAGATTTTTA